AGTTCACAAATGGAGATTATGGAGTCAAAGCTTTCTCCTTCCCTAAAGCAGTGAGAGAAACATAGTAAGATCCACAGGAGAAATGCATGGAAATATGTGAGGAACTGGAAAAATAACAGAATTTTGCAAGATGTAAGCCTGCTTGCTGAGAAACATTGTGTCATCTTGTCTTAGTGACAGACAAATGATGCACTCCATGAAAGCCCAACACAATCAGAGGGGACCCCAAAACCAAGCCAGTTCCCACAGCTCAGAGACTGTGTGGTGGGACTTCACCACCAAGTCAAGAGAAGCACTAGACAGCTCTTGGTCACCAGTGATCCCCATGAAGCAGGATCAGACCATGAAGGGGTTTGTCTCTCATGTAAAAACATGTAAAAATGATTCCACAGGCACCAAGTGGGAGGCTGATAAAAGGCTAATTTGACTCACAGAAAGACTGTTAATGTTTACAGATCAAGAACAGGTAACTGGTTACCCACACCGCAGCATCACAGTTTCAGAGAATTGGGGAAGCCTCTGTCTGCAGTGAGACCCAGAAAACTCCTGAATTGTGTCTTAGTGACTGGTGGGGACACGTTTTGAAGGTTCAGGAGTCTGTGATAAATAAGGGATTGACCTCCGTAGGATACAGCATGTCCTGGGTAATGAAGTTACTGTAACAGAATTGCAACTTCTCTTCGAAAACCTTCTGCCCTTTCTGAGCTAAAAAACAGTTAAGTAGACAGATGGAATCTGTCTTAAAGTTTATGAGCTTACCTCATCTTTCCAACACAACAAAAGGTCATCAACATATTATATGGGAATAGAATCACAGGGAAATTTAAGGTCCTTCAGGTCAGAGTTGAGAAAAACTGATACCGTTTCAGTTCATCCTTGTGGCAAAACGGGGTAGATATGTTGTCGATATTCCCAGGAGAAGCAAACCAACATTTGCTATATTGATAAAAGGCACTGTGGAAGACAGCAAACACGATGTACAAATATAAAACAGGCACTCTCAGTAGGCAGCGGAGACAAACTAGCATTTGTGTTTGGTACTACAAGGAAGGAGGGGCTGACTATTCTATTTACGGTCCAGGGGTCCTAAGGAAATCTACATCTCTAAACAGTAGCGGCTTTTGTTTTTCCTTCTGTGTTTGACTGGGTTGCTGCTGTTGTTGTTGGCTGTACTGTATCACCAGGAGTGTGGGGTGTTGTAAGAGCTGGTACCTGGCATGATGAGTCCTTTCTCCACTGGACCTTTGACTATTGACTTTGGTCCTTCTTTAGCTTCAGCTTTAACAGGGTATTGTATGAGTTTGAGTGGAGAATGTTTCATTTCATTTCTTCATCTTCTTGGCTCATATAGGTCAGGTTTTTTTATAAGCATCCTTTCTGCTTGTTGTATCTATAAGTGTCTTTAACAAGTCTTATCTCCCCTGGTTTCTTAAAAAATTAAGATATAGTTTACATATCATAGGGCTTCCCCAGTGGCTCAGCTGGTGAAGAATCTGCCTGCAGGGCAGGAGACCTGGGTTCGATCCCTGGGTTGGGAAGATCCACTGGAGAAGGGATAGGCTACCCAGCCCAGTATTCTGGGCTTCCCTTGTGACTGAGCTGGTAAAGAATCCGCCTGCAGGGCAGGAGACCTGGGTTCAATCCCTGGGTTGGGAAGGTCCTCTGGAGAAAGGAATGGCTACCCACTCTAGTATTCTGGCCACTCATCATTTTAAAATATACAAATCCAATGGTTTAGTACATCCACTATGCTCTAAGACCATCACCATTATCTAATTTTACAATTTTTTCCAAAAAGAAATCCATACTTGTTAGCAGTTGGTCCCAAACCCTCTCCCCAGCCATCCCCTGGAAAACGCTCACCTCATCACCTCTCTGTCTCTTTGGATCTCCCCACACGGGACACTTCATATAAATGGAATACACAGCACGCACCCATTTCTGTCTGGCTTTGTTCACAGTTTACTGTTTCTAAGGTGCACCCATGTTGTAACATGCATAACTACCTCATTCCTGAGTTTGCTTGCCATTTCCTCATTGTTGTTGAAGAAATATCTATTCAAACTTTTTGACCATTGTTTAATTGAGTGATTTGCCTTTTTATTGTGGTAAGGATTTTTTTATATGTCCTGAATACTAGATCTTTACACAGATATACAGACAAATATTTTTTCATTCTGTGAATTTTTTTTTCACTTCCTTTCCCAACAAATTCATCAAAAAAGTCACCTATAAATCTTCCCCATAAAGCAAGTTTGCTTGTCAACAGAAATTCTAGGAACCTGTGCTGTGCTTAGTCACTCAGTCATGTCTGACTCTTTGTGACCTCATGGACTGTAGCCAGCCAGGCTCTTCTGTCCATGGGATTCTCCAGGCAAGAATACTTGAGAGGGTTGCCATGACTTCCCCCAGTGGATCTTCCTGACCCCGGGATCGAACCCAAGTCTCCCACATTGCAGGCAGATTCTTTACCATCTGAGCCACAAGGGATGCCCTCTAGGAACCCAGTTCTTCTGTAAAATATTATTACAATATCCATTAATTTAAAAAGTAGTCATTTTTCCATGTGAAATGTCAACTGTTATCTAAACTTTAATATAGAAAGGTGAAAAGAGGTGAATAATTACAATAAATAATGATTTTTCATACTGAACAAATAGAAGGCATATTATTAGACAATCTAACTATACAAATACCATAGACCCATACAGTATTTCATTCAGTTCAGTTCATTAAACAGCCTTATGAGACACTAAAGGATTCTATTAACTTTCCTGTATGCTAAATGAAAATTTCAAGAAGCAATTATTCCTGGGTCTAATGAGTGACACTGTAAAACCAGCGAGTCCTACAACAAGAACTAAACTCTGTCCCATGATCACTCTGAGCTAAGAACAACCCAGGCCTTCTAACTAGGTTGCAAGGCTCAACTCTGAGCTGAGAATGGAGGGCCCTTGGGCACCTGGAAAAAGATGTGGAGACCTGTCTCTGACAATGGAAATGCCCCTCATTGTACACAGCAATTTTGTTCCTCGAGGCATATGTAAATTGTGCTGTTTTCAATCAAATCTGTTTTACACGTACCAGGAGTTTGTCTATTTAAAAATATATTACAGGAACTCCTTTTAAAAACAAAGAAAGCTTTGTGAATAAAAACTGCTTTTCAGTTAATCTGTGTACCGTCAGTTTGGAGTTTCAAATAGTGCCCTTTCTTAAAACAGGACACACCCTGCACTGAGATGACAGCTGAACAATACAGATTATTCTGCAAAGATGGAAAACAAGGGATCGGCACGTACTTGGGTGTAGCTTCGGTTTCTGTATTTTGAGGAATGTTTTGGGTCTGGAAAGAACCCAGAGATGAGCAGCTACAATGATCAACTTAATGGAAACTAAGACCCTTGAGACAACCTTAGTGAATTCAAGCTTACTTCACTTGAAACAGAGGAAGCTAAGGTTCTATTTGTTCCCTGTATGCAAAAATACACAATAAAGGGTAAAGATTTACGGTAAAATATGAAATAAGCAAGAAAAAAGCAAAATATTATGATGATTATGTAAGGATAAGTATAAATAAGAGCAAACAATACAAAGAAATGTAATGACATAAACAGTGGATACTTTGAGGAGGTTATGGATAAAATCTTTGTTTAAAACTTCCCATACTATGGTTGTGATTAGAAAAAATAATTAATTAATTAATTAATTTAAAAAAATTAATAAAATAAAATAAAATTTGATATACTGGAAAAAAAATAAATAAAAAAATAAAACTTCCCATAATGTTAGTATAACATTACATTGCTTTGTGTAATATTATAGTTTATATAATAATGTATACTGTAATATTAATATTACAATAATATTATATATAATTTAGAGGGGAAAAGCATGAGACGGCTTAGATAGAAGTGTTTAAGCAGCCATGGACAAGAAAATTGAAGAGGAAAAATTATTCTTCTCAAATCATCTGCCTCCTGACTCTTCTATGCTTCTGTCTCCACCCCATCAGCCTCAAGGATCCCAACATTATTACTTCCTTGCATCAGCTGTGGATGTTATGCACTTTGACTTATTGAATGATTCAGCAAAGATTAGTTGATCCCTGTGATACACCAGAGGCTTCCCAGGTGGCATTAGTGGTAAAGAACGTGCTTGCCAATCCAGGAGATGTAAGAGACATGGGTTTGATCCCTGGGTCTCGAAGGTCCCCTCAAGGAGGCCATGGCAACCCACTCCAGTATTCTTGACTGGAGAATCCCGTGGACAGAGGGACCTGGCAGTCTACAGCCCATAGGATTGCAGAGTCGAACATGACCGAAGCGACTTAACACGCACACACGATACACCAGACTCCTGCTAGTGACCGAGGAAGCAGCTGGCGGAAACCCCACATTCCAGCCCTCCCTGACTTACCGTGTTCAGAGAGATGGTTATCACACAACACAAGTGGAGGGAGGGCAGTCAGAGAAGATGCAGACAGTGGCGTTATCACAGAAAGAGCGCTGAACCCGTATTTGTGGGGCTGAGGCTGGATGAGGGGGTATACGGGGAGGGAGACACGCAAGAATGCCTGGAATGTTCAAGGGACCGAAGCTGAAGAGGGAGAGGCCGGTGACATGCCTGGAGAGGATGTCGTCAGCCACTGTACTGAGTGTGACCTGAACAAGCTCTTGGGGGGGTTAGAGCGGGAGAAGGATGCTCTTCAGGAAGATGAGTCGAGTTGCCAAGCAGAGAACAGATGAGAGGAGAGAGATACAGGAGCCAGAGGTAGGAGGACATTCCAACGAAGGTGCTGCGGGGCGGGGGGCTGAGGCTGCAGAGAAGGGACCAGAGTGCAGAGGCGCCCGAGAGGTCGTTTTCACTGGACTTGGGAAACGGTTGATTGCGGAGGGGGAGAAGGCGGGGGTCCAGGAAGCGCACAGAGTCTCATGAAGCAGACAGAGAGGACTGAATTCCTCAAGTCCAAGAAGAGCCCGTGACAAGTTTCCGGCTGCGAGGTGAGGGAGGCAGTGAGGAGCACTTTGAGACGCCGGGTCCGGCAGCACGGGCCCAGCGGGGTGACGGGTGTGAAGAAGCGCGTGTGAGCAGAGAGGAGGAGGCCAGACTCAACGACAAGGACCCCGGGCGCCACGTGGAGCGCCTACGTCCCAGCGCACCGGCCACAGCGGCTTAGAGAGAGACACCCGGGGAACGGGGAGCAAGAGCCACCGGCACCCTGGGCCTCAGCTGCTCGGCGCGGGCTGACGGGCGGAGTGGCCTGTGGGCTGCCCTTCCCTACGAGGCTCCTGACGCCCTTCAGCCGTCAGTAAAACGCTCCCCGTGTGGCCTCTGGGGCCGCTCTTCACTTCAGCGCGCAGGTGTTTGGTGCCTGCTGTGTTCACGGGCCTGGAGGGGCAAAGAGAACACAGCGTCTGCCCCTAGGACCCTGGTCGAGGAGGAAGCTTAGACCAGTGGGGTAAGGATGACGCGCGTAGTCAGCGATAACAGCAGAGTCAACGGCACGAGCTGGGATTCCAGCGAGGTCCCGGGGATGGACAGAACGCGAGCCAAGTCTTCAAGGGCCATCTTGAGGAACGACACAGAGAGTGGGGACCAGCAGAAGCCGCAGACTGTGCCCAGCCAGAGGGCTGGGAGCAGCATGGAGCTGAGGACTGAGGCCACCTTACCTGGGCGCTCGAGCGTGAGGAGCAGGGGACGCTGGGAGGTGACACTGGGAGCTAAGCCAAGGGCGTGGGTGTCCCCGACTTTCCCCCACGTGTGCTTAGCCGCTCAGTCGTGTCCAACTCTGTGCAACCCCATGGCAAGGGGTTTGTAGCCCACCAGGCTCCTCTGTCCATGGGGTTCTCCAGGCAAGAATAGTGGGTTGTTGTGCCCTTCTCCAGGGGATCTTCCCGAGCCAGGAATTGAACCCAGGTCTCCCACATTGCAGGCGGATTCTTTACCAGCTGAGCCACTGTGGAAGTCCGGCTTTCCCCACAGGCTGCTGGAACTGCACTCTACCTTATGGGGAAAAGGGAGGAGTTTTAAACCAATAGTATGTTCAGACTAGCATCTTTCAAAGGTTGCTGATAGGTTTTCTATTTCTATAGATTGTCAAACATAAAGATATCTGTTAAAAGTACAGCCTGTTTTGAAGCATAACGAAGAGCGTCTTAACTCTGGGAATAAACATTAAGAGATACTAAGAAATAACTTTTCTAGACCTTTATGCTGTGGTTATTGTCAATGTGTAATGTGTGTACATGTTTCATTCTAAAGGTACAAGATCAGAGTCAGTGAAAACCTAGCCTTCCTTCCACGCCCAGACCACCATCGCTCCCAGTTTCTTATGAGTCATTTCGAAGAAATAGTCAACTTTCTCCCTCCATCTCTATCTCTCTCAGACACACACACACACACATTTTCTTACACAGATAGTGGCATACAAAAAACACTGCTCCATCCCTGCTTTCACGTAACATTTTCTGGACATCATACCTGTAGAACCGCTTGTTTCTTTTTAACAATGCACAGTCTTCTCTTATATGGATGTACCATTAGCCGGTTTCCTATTTCTCTATTGATGGACCTCTATCTGATAACACTCTTTTGCTACCATAAAAAAGCATTGTAGTAAATATCCTTGTACATGTGCTATTTTTATGTAAGTATGAGAAAGTGTGTAGGTTAAATTCCTAGAAGTGGGGACTGCTACTCTTAGTTCCTAGAATGAATGCATATTTTTAATGTTGATAGACATGATCTATTTGTTCTGTATGAGAAATAGAAATACTCCCCAAAGCAATTAGTGCCTGTCTCTCTATGTCATTGCAAAATCCTTGTGATGCCAAACTTCTTGGTCATTGTCAACTGAAAAATGTTACCTCTTTTTAGATTTAATCTGAATATTTTTGATGAGCTAGATTGAACAGCTTTTCTTATGTTTAAGAGCTGCTTAATTTTTTCACTGTGACAGACCTTATTCTTGGCCCATTTTTCCAATGAATTGTTGATAACTTTCTTATAGATTTGTAAATGCTCTTCATGTATTAAAGAAACTGAATTTTTTGTGAAACAGTTCAATAATTTTGCATTTTTATTTTATTTTATATGTAATATTTTTGCCACAGATAATTTTCTTTAGTTTTATGTAACCAGATTTATCAGTCCTTTGTGTTTTGTATATAGCTTCTGGATTTGGAGTCAAATTTATAGAATTTTCCTGTGCCAAGATTATTTTTTAAAAAGATTTCCCCAAGTCATCTATTTTTATAATCTTATTATTGTACACATAACTTTTTTTCACTTGAATCTTATTTGGATGGAAAATAAGAAATTCAACTGATTTTTTCCAGATGTTGCACTATAATTACTCCAATGCTATTTTATTGAATATCAGTCTTTTTTCCCAATTGATTTGAAGTCTCACTTTATAATATACAAAATATCTAGAGTGCTTAGATCTGTTTTGGTTACATTGATCAATCTACTTATACAGTAAACCATGTTATTTTAAATACAAGGAGTATGCCCCCTCTATATTCTCCCATTTCAAATGTGTATTAATTTTTCCTTAGAAATTTTAAAATTGGTTTACCTGACTTCCAAAGAGAATAACCACCAGTTCCTGAAATAATTCTACTTTATTTATTTTATTATTTTATGGTGCTGTTGGATTGTATTCTTAATATTGCTCATCTGTAAATATTATTGCATCTATAGTTTTCTTCTGGTAGCTTATTTTTGTTAAAGTTGGCAAGATAACATTAAATTCATAAAAATAAAAATAATTTAGAAATTGTCCATGTATTCCTTTGATATGCTCTAGAATACCTTAATGATGTTGAAATGATATGCTTCTTAAGTGTTTGGTAGAATTTCTCTATGAAATCATCTGAACCTGATGCTTTTCTCAAAAGGTTGCTCTTGACAGCTTTCACCTACAATAATTCATCTCTTTAAACATTTCCTTTGGGGTGGGGGGAGGTCAGTTTTGGCAAATCATCTATTTTTGGGTCTTTCTCATTGCAGGCAGATTATTTACCAGCTGAGCTACCAAGGAAGCCCTCTTCACTTCTATTTTAGGGTCTGAAATTATTTATGCAGAAATAAGTCATTTGTTAAGATTCTTTAATTTCATCTTACTTGTGCTGACTTTTAAAAAATGCATAACCAGGACATGGAAGCAACCTAGATGCCCATCAGCAGACGAATGGATGAGGAAGCTGTGGTACATATACACCATGGAATATTACTCAGCCATTAAAAAGAATTCATTTGAATCAGTTCTAATGAGATGGATGAAACTGGAGCCCATTATACAGAGCGAAGTAAGCCAGAAAGATAAAGACCATTACAGTATACTAACACATATATATGGAATTTAGAAAGACGGTAACAATAACCCTATATGCAAAACAGAAAAAGAGACTCCGATGTATAGAACAGACTTGTGGACTCTGGGAGAAGGCGAGGGTGGGATGTTTCAAGAGAACAGCATCGAAACACGTATATTATCTAGGGTGAAACAGATCACCAGCCCAGGTTGGGTGCATGAGACAAGTGCTCGGGCCTGGTGCACTGGGAAGACCCAGAGGGATCGGGTGGAGAGGGAGGTGGGAGGGGGGACCAGGATGGGGAATACATGTAAATCCATGGCTAATTCATTTCAATGTATGACAAAAACCACTGCAATGATGTAAAGTAATTAGCCTCCAACTAATAAAAATAAATGAAAAAAAAATGCATAACCTCAGAGTTGTGAGTTAAGTTTTATTTGGAGCAAAATAAGGACTATAGCCCAGGAGATAACACCTCAGATAGTTTTGAGAAACTGCTTCAAAAAGGTAGGGGGAATGTCAGCCTATACGTGACTTTGGTGAAGGGTGAGCACATGTTTTGCAGAAGAATGCTGCTAGTCATGAGGGGCGGTCACCACCACAAAGAATCTTAGTGCTTTTCTGCATTTGAGGAGCTAGAAGAACTGGGCTTATAAAATCATCTACTGAAAATCTAACTATCTGAAGACCTATTCGCCCAGTTTTTCCCAGAGTACAGAGTGCCTCATTTCTAATCTCCACACTGAACTTCTTCTTGACTTTGTTATTATTTTTCTACTTCTTACATTGCCTTCATCATTTATCCTCATCTTCCTCTGATGTTGATGCATATGTTGAAATCCATAAATAGTACTAAAGTCTGCAATTTTTTGTTTCATAATTTCTAAGTGGAGTTTAGTATTCTTATTTTCAGGTTTCCTCCAGTTTCAGGTCTTGTTTTCTCTTTCCCTCAGTAGTAGCTTACAAGGTATATATTTTGCTATTATCATCATGGCTTATATTACTGCTTTATTCTTAAATTAACAGATATGGAGTTTTCCTTTTTAATATCTAACTTGTTTCATTAAGATTAGAGAATGTTACTATTTTTACTCTTTGGAAATTAATGTAATTTCTTGATAAAATTTTGTGAACATTTTAGTGACACCTCAAAAGAAGATATATTCTTTTTTAAAATAATCTTTATTGAAGTATAATTGATTCATGTTGTGAGATACATTCTCTTTTAGGGATATAGCATTGATTTATCTTAATAAAAAGTGCCCTCTTAAATATTATTTGTCTGTTTGATCTGGGATGAACTGGGAAAATAAGTTGAAGGATCTTTACCATGAATTTGTCTATTTCTCCTCGTATTTTTCTTTTCATGTTTATTTACTTGTTTCATTTTTAAAATATTGATGCTGTTTGGTTTGGTACAAAGATGTGCTGTGATCTCTTTGTTATAAGTTGCACTGATTACTGCTTTAATTGTCCATGTTTGTCTAGTCTGACGCTTTTTTCTCCAAAGGCTAAACTCATGTTTGACCTTCAATGCACTCCTTTATATACTGTGTTTCCGGTTACTCAGATCTCACAGTTTGGCCAAAGCTGGGGCATACACGTGTGTTTCTTATTTTCCTGACTGCCCTCATGTGATTTCTTTTTTTGTTTTTAAAGAGAGGAGGCAAGACTTCTTACTCTGTCACCTAATAAAGGGAAGTCCCCTTTCCACCCTATGCAAGTCTTCTGAAGAAGTTGTCTAACTTAGGTACGAGGGCTTCCCTGACGGCTCGGTGGTAAAGAATCTGCCTGCCAAGGCAGGATATGCAGGTTCAATCCTTGGGTCAGGAAGATCTCCTGGACGAGAAAATGGCAACCCACTCCAATACACTTGCCTGGGAAATCCCAAGGACAGAGGAGCCTGGTGGGCTACAGTCCATGGGGTCATGAGTCAGACACGACTGAGCGACTAACCAACCACAGCAGCTTAGATACGTAGCCTTCCACTCAATAAGCACATAAGGCAGAACTTGCTGACTGTCAGGTGTCACACAGGTGCTGCGGCCACACCTGCCCAGATATGAAAGCTGTGCTTCTAGAGCACCTCTGACGGGGCCAAGGGGCCACTGGATGGGCTCTGCTTTGAGCTGGCAAAGCCTGATATCACAGCAGACTTTGGGACTGGTGTCCAACATCGCACCCCAAAGAAGTCAACAGCTGAACTTCAACAAATCCATATATGATCAAAATCCTGTCCTGGAGCCAGCAATTTACTTTGGTTTGAAATCTAAGCCCCAGGCAACAGCTGCTCCTGCCTCTCACGCTCGCATGGAGACGTTCTCACAAATGCCCACATAGCTGGGAGTGTCAAATGGTCTATTCTTTCAAGCCAGTCGTCCCCACAAACATTTGCCCCGTCTGCCAGGATTCTCCAGGGCCGGACCAGTGCTGCTGGAGTTTGTCTGTTGCTACATCCTGAAGCCCAGGCCAGCTGCAGGTCTGAGGCTGGGCCCAAATGGTGTCGATTTACTCGCAGCTGTCCTATCTCGAGCCCAGCAGGCCCTCGGCACAATTCCCCAGTGGGCCGAAAAACCTCACTTTCTCTGAGACTGTGGGAACAGGCGCTGGGCTATCTGCCTTCTCGTGTACAACTCTCAGATCTAGGAAATGAACTCAGAGTTCAAATAGACAGTGTATGTATTAGTCGCTCAGTGGTGGTTGACTCTTTGTGACCCCATGGACTGTAGCCCACCAGGCTCCTTCATCCATGGAATTCTCCAGGCCAGAATGCTGGAGTGGGTTGCCATTTCCTTCTCCAGGGATCTTCCTGACCCAGGGATCGAACCCAGGTCTCCTGCATTGCAGGCAGGTAGCTTTACTGTCTGAGCCGCCAGGGAAGCCCAAATAGATCACACAAACTTGATTTCTCATTAAGGTAAAAAGTTTAAAATGAACTAGGAAATAACCTGCTTTTACAAAATATCGTGGATTTAAGGATCTGAAAGGGCTTTGCAAGTATTAAACATTCTCCTGTTTTAGTCTGCCCAGGGTGGTTGAATCGCTAAAATTTAAAATATTCTCATTTGAAAAACAAAGAAACAGGGTGATTGATTACCTTGGGTGGAAAAGCGCAAAGCCAGGGCTATTATGCATGTGTTTTTGGACAATCAGCTACTTTAACACAAAGGGAGAGAGAGACTCTTGATTAGGTGAGCCCTGATAATTAAGGGTGACCTTTGCTGAGGGAAATTTATTAGGTTTATTCAATAGTTAATAATGAAAAGTCATCTCAACCTGAGAAGGTATATGGTAAGCAAAATGAGGATTTTCAAGGAGCCTCCATAAACTGAGAACAGAATTTTGGCTCAAGTTTAATTTGATGAGAACCACATATAAAATCACTGCGGACAGTGGCTATAGCCATGAAATTAAAACATGCTTGCTCCTTAGAAAGAAAATTATAGCAAACCGGAAAGCATATCAAAAAGCAGAGACATCATTTTGCCAACAAAGGTCCGTATAATCAAAGCTGTGGTTTTTCCAGTGGTCATGGATGGACGTGAGAGTTGGACCATAAAGAAGACTGAGACAGAAGTACTGATGCTTTTGAACTGTGGTGCTGGAGAAGACTCTTGAGAGTCCCTTGGACTGCAAGGAGATCAAACTAGTCAATCCTAAGGGAAATCAGTCCTAAATGTTCATTGGAAGGACTGACTCTGAAGCTGAAGCTCCACTATTTTGATCACCTGATGCAAAGAGCCTAGTCACTGGAAAAGACCCTGATGCTGGAAAAGACTGAAGGCAAATGGAGAGGAGGACAGCAGAGGATGAGATGCTTAGACAGCATCACCAACTTGAGGGACGCGTATTGGAGCAGACTCCAGGAAATGGCGCTGCAGTCCATGGGGTTGCAAAGAGTTGAACACAGCTTAGCAACTGAACAAAAACAACAACATGTAATATGTATTTTTTTTTCTTTCCATGCATGTGTTTTTTCAAACTTTTAGAAGGTATTATTATTTTTAAAGTATTACTTAAACTCTAAACTTCTTCGTGGTTAAAACAATGTGAAGAAGACTCCTAATATGCAGTCTCTTTAAAAAGAAAAAATTCCCAAGGCATCTAAAAGACTCTTTAAAATGCATGAATGTACTTGAAGCTAAAATGAAAACAATGCAAATGGCTGACCAAAAAAGACAAGAGATTCTGAAGGTACTGAGAACAATTTCTGAATCTAATAGGAGTAAATGATCTGTTGAAAAGAACTCATACTGACCTCAACTCAGCTTAGGACCTTAGGAACCAAATTAGGAGCCAACTCCACAAATAAACTACTAATTATTTTTGAAAGAGGAATTGGGACAGACGCAAATGGCACAGATCCACGTGAGACAACATCTTTTGTTCAGAGTTTCTGAGAGAAAAGTAGAAAATCACCCTCTCAGTAACAGTATCTTTGGGGACTCTTTCTTGACAAAGACACGCTCTTTCTTTATGCGAAATATTAGGAACCACTTTTCCCCTTGCGTGTTTTGTCGCTTCAGTTGTGTCCGACTCTGTGACCCCGTGGACTGCAGCCCGCCAGCCTCCTCTGTCCATGGGATTCTCCAGGCAGTGGAGTGGGCTGCCACGCCCTCCTCCAGGGGATCTTCCCAGCTCAGAGGTTGAACCCACAACCCATGTGTCTTACGTCTCTTCCATTGGCAGGCTGGGAAGCCCTTTCCCCTTACATGTGAAAGCATATAAGATAATGGTTTGCACTTGATTTGACTCTCAAGTGGTAACTTCCCCTTCCTAACACAGTGAGATGAGAACAAACACTGATTCGCTCTGGCTTTGCACATAGTAGGACCTTGACATGTGGTTACTGGGAATGGCTTGAATGATGATGATCACACAGCAGAGCTATTTCAAGCTCAGCTTGGAAGCACAGAGAACAGACAGTCCCACCAGCCCCCACTTCCTGGCACCATCACCCTTGGGTCACCCCCTCCCCTTGGGTGAGGCAGGACCCACTGACTGTCTTCTAACAAATAGGACATGGCAGAAACCATGAAGTGTCCCTTCCGAGGTCAGAGATGGTGGCTTCTATTTTACTCCCCTGCCCCCCGCCCTCTCTTACACTCAGGGAAGTGTCAGCATATTGGGATGCAGCCTGGGAGATCCAACCAGTCCATCCTAAAGGAAACCAACCCTCAATATTTATGGGAAAGGCTGCTGCTGAAGCTGAAGCTCCAGTGTTCTGGCCACCTGATGTGAAGAGCCAACTCACTGGGAAAGACCCCAAAGCTGGGAAAGATTGAAGGCAGGAGGAGAAGGGGAGGACAGAGGGTGAGATGGTTGGATGGCATCACCGACTCGATGGACATGAGTTTGAACAAACTCAAGGAGATAGTGAAGAACAGGGAAGCCTGGCGTGCTGCAGTTCACGGGGGTGCAGACAGTCAGACACAACTTATCAGCTGAACAACAACAACATGTGGAGGGCCCACCCATGTGAGGTTGGACATAGGTCTTCCGGAAGAACCCTGAGATGACTAGCCCTGGCCATCACCTTGATCCACAGAGACCCTGAGCCAGAGCTACTCCTGCATTCCTGCACCACAGAGACTGTGTGAGTAAAAATGTGGTGTTTTCAGCCTCTAAACTGTGGAGTAATTTGTTGGCAGCAATGGAGGAAAAAACGCTTGTACCTTTAAGGAGAACGTCACTCCAGGGGAGTGGACTGGCCACTGAGTGAGGGTCCCAGCCAAGGGAGGAGAGCATACTCAAGCTGCTCAGATGTTTAGAAACGCTGCCCCAGATGTCTACACCCCCTGATGACGGTGTCAGATTCTGAACAATTCTGTTCTCGGGCCCTTCAGGAGTGAACTGAAAGATGGGAAAGAACGAGACTTTCAGGTGACATTTGAAGCATCGGTAAGACCTTCCAAGTTCATTAACAAAGGCAGCCCAGGCTCTTTCTCCCGAAGCACCAGCAGTTGCCGTCTTGTCCGTCACCCTCCTGGTTGCACTCTGTCAAGGGTCCCTCTGCTTTCCCTCCCTTCTCCCCCTTCCCCACACCGTCAGTCACACACCTGCCAATCTGCATCAGGTTTGGCTCTGCCTCTCATGTCTGTAAGTGCCAGGATCTTACGGCCTCCATCAGGGATTGCCACGAAGGCCTCCCAGAATCTCCTACCAGGCTTCGTCCTGCCTGGTATCATCAGACCAACTGCTCAGCGTCCACCACTTCACCCTGGTAAACCCAAAAATGACTCCACTCCAGCGAGTCCCCTGATCGGCCCAAACCCCATCTTGTCCACTGAAGGCCCACACGCTGCTCCTGCTCTCCCCCTGGTGTGCTCTGCTCTGAGGTCCCTTCCTACTAACCCACAGCCACATTCGGCCTGAAGACTCAGATCCAAACAGAACTCCTTTGAGAGACTCCTCATGCCTCCCAGATCCACTCATGCTTTGCACCCTCTTGACCCGGAGGTGCAGACAAATAAGCACCATGCTTCACACGGATGACTTCTCTTTGCAACTCACTTGAAAACCTGCTGATTCCAGCACCCCAGCCTTCTTTTGTTCCCACCACATTTCCAAAAAAACAAACACCTGCAGTCTCTGGACTTAGATGAAGAGAACAGAAGAACAATATTATCACCTGGGCATCCTTATGTGCCAGGTAATTAATAAGTGTAACTTCTTTAATTCTCACTTCAAACCTCTGAGATGCATTTGTGCATCTGTATTTAACAAATGGGAAAGTAACATGGGTAAGTTGTCCAAGTTCACTCTGCTGTTAAGGGTTTCAGCAGGAATATAAACTCAGGGCTGGAGACTGCCAAGCCTGTGCTCTTCACACTTGCCACACCAACCTCAATACAAAGTGAAGAAGCTAATTGCACCTAAATTAGCACGCATTGAGGTGAGAAAACAATGGGGTGGGTGGACTGCAGGCACTGCCTGCCTGCACCCCAATCTCACCTTCCCCTCTCCCACAGGCTGGCCAATTAGCTCCTGTGAGACAGAGCTCTTCTCTTACCAGGAGGACCGTGGCAGTACTAAGTGCCCGGGAACGGTGAGCGTTCCAGGGCTTGACGCACAATCAGTGCTCAGCACTGAAGAAAAGGCAGCATTGCTGCTCTGGGCTTTGCTTTCCCATCCCATCTCTCCCAAAGCACACGAGTGAACTCTGTGACTTCCCAAGGATAAATCTTTTAACGTGCCCAACATTTTCTTAGTTTTTTGTGTGACTTGCTGGAAGTTTTTTCTTGCTTATTGTATGCACTCTATGTTGTTGTTATTCAGTCATTAAGTCGCGTCCAATTCTTCATGATCCCATGGACTGCAGCATGCCAGGCTTCCCTGTCCTTCATCATCTCCCAGAGTTGGTTCAAACTCATGTTCATCGAGTCGGTGATGCCATCCAACTATCTCATCCTCTGCTGCCCCCTTCTCCTCCTTCCCTCAATCTTTTCCAGCATCAGGGTCTTTTCCAACGAGTCGGCTGTTCAAATCAGGTAGCCAAATATTAGAGCTTCAGCTTCAGTCCTTCCAATGAATGTGCTATGCTGTGCTTAGTTGCTCAGTCATGTCCAACTCTTTGCGACCCCCTGGACTGTGGCCCGCCAGGCTCCTCTGACCATGGGGATTCTCCAGGCAAGAATACTGGAGTGGGTTGCCATGCCTTCCTCCAGGGGATATTCCCAACCCAGGGATCGAACCCAGGTCTCCTGCATTGCAGGCAGATTTTTTACCACCTGAGCTACCAGGGAAGAACTTCCAATGAATATTCAGGGTTGATTTCCTTTAGAATTGACTGATTTGGTCTCCTCACTCTCCAAGGGACCCTCAAGAGTCTTCTTCAGCACCACAGTTCGAAAGCATCAATTCTTCAGCACTCAGCCTTCTTTTATGGTCCAACTCTCACATCCATACATGACTACTGGAAAAAACATAGCTTTGACTATGCAAACCCTTGTTGGCAAAGTGATGTCTCTGCTTTTTAATATACTGTCTAGGTTTATCATAGCTTTTCTTCCAAGAAGCAAGCATCTTTTAATATCATGGCCTCAGTCACAATTCACAGGGGTTTTGGAGCCCAAGAAAATAAAGTCTGTGACTATTTCCATTGTCTCCCCATCTATATGCCATGAAGTGATGGAATTGAATGCCACGATCTTAGTTTTTTAAGCCAGCTTTTTCACTCTCCTTTCACCTGCATCAAGAGGCTCTTTAGTTCCTCTTCACTTTCTGCCATTAGGCTGGTGTCATCTGCATATCTGAGGTTACTGGAATACCAGACCACCTTACCTGCCTCCTGAGAAATCTGTATGCAGGACGTACTCTAAACCATGAAGTAAAAACCAGAACCCATCCAATCAGAATTTTCCCCGTCACTAAGCTGTGTGGACCAATTCAAACTCTTAAGAGCAACAGGCAAATTTCACAGCACAGAAAAATTGCATTTTATTCCTGCTGAGACAAAACACACAATGGCAGTATTTTTCAAGATCGATAACAGAGGATAGACAAACGAGAGAGAGAGAGATGAGAGATGAGAGATATTGCCAACAACAATGAGATGTGGATATAATACAGACAGACATAGAGGAATGGCAATTTTGGAGGTTTCCTCAGCTCCCTGCCCCATCGCACCTGCAATTCTACAGACGAGAAAACTGCCAGCCCTGCTCACATCCATAGTGACAGTGAGATCCTGTAATCTCTTCCTTCTGCCTAAGATGGGCTTTTCCCATTGCACTCATCCTGCCCGCCCCCGACTTAGATGTCAACTGAGGTCTTCAGTTAGCTATTTTTATGCCCTTACCATCACAGCATTTCAGTCCCTGCACACGTGTGTGTGCTCAGGCGCTTCAGCCACGTCCGACTCCTTGCGACCCCGTGGACTACAGCCTGCCAGGCTCTCTCCTAGAGGATCCGTGAGATTCTCTAGGCAAGAATACTGGGTGGGCTGCCATTTCCCTTCTCCGAGGGCTCTTCCCCCACCCAGGGACTGAGCCCGGGTCTCCTGTGGCTCCTGCACTGGCAGACAGACTCTTTACCACTGAGCCACCTGGGAAGCCCTTCAGTCCTCACTCAACTCCTTTGGCCGCACAAAACTATCTCGGTCTTCCTTGCCATCTGTTCTTCCACCCACAGAATGAACTTTTAAACATGTATTTCACGGGCACCTCCCAGGGGCCAGTGTTGCTTTGCTAAGCACGCATCATTGTTCTTCAGACGGGATGCACAGCCCATGGGTGGGGTCCCTGGCTCAGGCTGGCTCATTCCATGTCCAAAAGCTCCAAGAACAGACGGGACTAGATAAGCGTCTGCTGGGCTCTCCTCACACACAGAGCCCTCCCCAGCAGCGCCTGGCCCAGCCGGGTGCTATGTTGCCTACTCCTGCTCTCATCCATCCTCGCTCCTCTTCTCCCCATCAACACCTCAGGCCCCACCTCAGGCCCCATGCTCTTTTGCTCCCATGTTTTATAAGGTCTAGGGCAGCAGTCCCCAACCTGACTAGCCCAAGAGACCAGATTCATGGAACACAGTTTTTCCACAGACGAGGGGTGGAAACTGGAGAAGGAAATGGCACCCCACTCCAGTGCTCTTGCCTGGAAAATCCCATGGATGGAGGAGCCTGGTAGGCTACAGTCCCTGGGGTCGTGAAGAGTCGGACACGACTGAGCGACTTCACTTTTACTTTTCACTTTCATGCACTGGAGAAGGAAAAGGCAACCCACTCCAGTGGTCTTGCCTGGAGAATCCCGGGGATGGAGGAGCCTGGTGGGCTGCCATCTACAGGGTCGCACAGAGTCGGACACGACTGAAGCGACTTAGCAGCAGGGGGTAGAAGGGCTGGTTTCAGGATGATTCAAGCACATTACATTAATCGTGTGCTTCATTTCTACTATTATTATATCAGCTCCACCTCAGATCATCAGCCATTAGATCCTGGAGGATGGGGACCCCTGGCCTAAGGGGGAACCCCAACCATTATATGAAAGAGTTTGAAATTTATTGCCATGTTTCAACAGGGTTCTCTGTACCTTTAAACACATTCCCTTTTGACTCTTTTCCTCTACATGTGGTCTCTCTAATCTCTCTCATTGCACGTTGTCTTAACGGGCTCTGTGTCCAGGTCCACTTCTGTGCTGTCGCTTGCACACAGCTGCAGCTTTTGGAGGCCAGGACAGCTGGACACGGTAGTCAGTGACATGCTTCTTACAGAGGCATTTATTAACTCACCCCAATGGCTCCAATACTTTGGCCTCCTAATGCGAAGAGCCAACTCACTGGAAAAGACCCTGATGCTGGGAAAGACTGAAGACAGGAGGAGAAGGGGACGACAGAGGATGAGACGGTTGGATGGCATCACCGACTTGATGGACGTGAGTTTGAGCAAGCTCCGGGTGTTAATGGACAGGGAAGCCTGGTGTGCTGCAGTCCATGGGGTCACAGAGAGTCTGACACAACGGAGCGACTGAGCAACAACGATGGCTTCATGGATTTAGAAAACTACTTGAGAAGTCGATGCCACAAAAGCTTCTGAAATATTGACATAAACCCAATAAAATGCTATTCCAAGCATAGGGAAAAAAAGTAGACATAACTCTACTGCCCCATCTGAAAAATTTTGGAGGTTGAGGAAAGAACTTCTTTCTCAAAATAAACCCTTCCCACTGTACATGGCTGGTCATAGAAACACAAAGTCTCCACGGCTGGGATAGAGTCCACCCCTTTCCACTTTAAACCAGGAGTCAATCAACTTTATCTGCAAAGCCCAGATAGTAAATATTTTGGGCTTTGAGTGCTGTAGAGTCTCTGTTGCAAGTCCTAGATTCTATTGTTGAAGGAGGAGGCAGCCGTCCACGTCACATAAACCAAGGGGCCTGCCGGTGTCCTGATAAACTTTATTTACAGAAACAAGCAGTGGCCAGATTCAGTCTGCAGACTGTAGATTGCAGACCTCAGCTCGAACTCGATCCCAGATCATGATCAGCAGGACCCACAGCCTCCGGAGAGCTCAATTATCTGATCTTAGAGTCCCAAAGGCCCGGGGAACATACTCGCCCGTGTGTTCAGATGGAGTTCCAGTCTCAAGCATAAGACCCTGCTGAAGTTAATGAAGATTAAATTTGAAAAGAATATCAAAATTGAGCAGTGGAGAGAAGGCTAAGCCTGCAGTCTGAGCTGAAGAAATGCCATACAAGCCACTGCATCCACCGCCTACTGAACCTGGATTAGAGAGGAGGTCGCTAGATAAACAGTAACCTCGAAAAAGGCTGACTTATAAAGAGACATAGATATGGAAGCTGACCCTCAGTGATTAAAAAGTCAAAGGTAGTGTTATTCGCTCAGTCGTGTCTGACTCTTTACAACCCCATGGACTGTGGCCCGCCAGCCTCCTCTGTCCATGGGATCCTCCAGGCAAGAATACTAGAGCAAGTAGCCACTCCCTTCTCCAGGGGACCTTCCTGACCCAGAGAGTGAACCAGGTCCCCTGCATTGCAGGCAGATCCTTCACCGACTGGGTCACCAGGGAAGTCCTAAAAGTCAGACAGCCAGAAACAAATACGGAATCCCTGGATTCTCACGGGCAATTCTGGCCACGGCGCCATTCAGGCATGACCTACATCAAATGCATATGATTATACAGTGGGAGTGACAAACAGACTCAAGGAATTAGGTCTGAGAGAGTGCCTGAAGAACTATGGACGAAGGTTTGTAACATTGCATAGGAGGTGGTGATCAAAACCATCCCCAAGGAGAAATGCAAAAAGGCAAAACGGTTGTCTGAGGAGGCCTTACAAATAGCTGAGAAAAGAAGAGAAGTGAAAGGCAAAGGAGAAAAGGAAAGATACACCCATCTGAATGCAAAGTTCCAAAGAATAGCAAGGAGAGATAAGAAAGCCTTCCTCAGTGATCAGTGCAAAGAAATAAAGGAAAACAATAGAATGGGAAAGACTAGAGATCTCTTTAAGAAAATTAGAGATATCAATGGAAGATTTCATGCAAAGATGAATACAATAAAGGACAGAAATGATATGGACCTAACAGAACCAGAAGATA